CTCACAACTTTATAAGCCACATTAAATATTTAGCTTTTATGTTTATTTATTGAAATAAACACAATGGAATAATGGTTAATGATTGTGAAGTCCTAGATCAGATGCCCTCGTATTCAAATGTCAGTACAGAAGCAAATTCCAAAACCAGATTTGCACTATCCTCTGTTACATGAGAGCTTGGTATTGAGTTCTCATTATGGCTCCTCCCAGATCAACATTTTAAAACTCCACAATTATTTGCTCTGTCCAGATTGCCTTACTTCATTTTATTCAATGGGTTAATGTTTTAAGTCGTAAGTCAAGTAGATTGAAGAACAATTAGTCTAATTTTTCGGTTCCTATTTGATCAGGCAACTGAAAGTGAATTTTTAGAACTTCACCAATACTCCTCTTATTTTATATATGTTAAGAAACCGTATCAGAAACTGTCATATTTGTGGAATCTGATTCAGGAACTCACTGACACACAGAACCTCCCCAAACTCAGAGAGAAGCATCTTCCCAGAACCCTCCCTATTTTGACTCATTTTTAATCTAACATTTTCTCTGCCTTTGGGTACCTTTGTTTGCAAATTTCATGGGATGCAACATCTGCAAAAGTTAGAATTTATGGAACTGATTAAACAGTAGTCTCTGTTTTAGACTAACCATTCGCATTTTTTCATTGGTCTGAACGGCTTACAATTTTTCTAAAAGCTGAGTACTTTCAGCCAAAATTTGTCCACCACTGGGAGATACCTAGAAATGATGTAAGCTTAATCCGATAAACAATAAATGTTCAAAAACATGCAAATTCTTCCTCTTCTCTTCATATTAGAGTAAGCTAAGTTTGGAAAGTGCTTTGTATATGTAAGAATTCATCCAATTTCTCTTTTTATCCTACTCTTCTTTATATGTGTGATAAATTTTAAATCTCTTCCTTTATAAAAGAGTACTTGGTAACAAGAATGACTTACCACACATCTGGGGTGACAGTGTCATTCTGGGATCGCCAGGTATGGGTTTCATAAATAGCTTCTCCATTGACTTTTAGCCAGGACCCCATTTGCCTCAGTCTCTCCTCAAAAACTACAGAAATGGTGCCATCTAGTGTGGGCCCAATATTCATCAAAAGATTTCCTCCACATGAAACTGTTTCTACAAGTTGCTAAAAAATTAAGAATAAATGTTTTTAGATAAATAAAATAATTCCATATTTAATGTGCTAATATGTTGCATTTATATATTTATACATGTATATATAGTCACTACCTAGAAGAACAAACACAGGATAGAACAATGTCCTATATTTATAGGCCATTGAGCTACATAAGAAATAAATCCTATATGATCACACTATTAAGAATATTATGTTAATAGTCACCAGACATTTTACTGTACCTTCACTAATTCTCCAATTGTAAGATAGTCAGAGATTCCAGCTTCCCTCCTATAGCCCCAGGACAGTTTGTCTATTGTCATGCAGTTTTCCCATTTATGTGGCAAAAGATGTCCTGGGTTATAACGATCACTGCAGGTATAGAAGCCACCGTGCTTACAGATGCTACCAGCTCCCCAACGATCATTGGTGACTACTGTGTCCCGAACTGGGCTGAAATGAAACATACAGTTTTTTAAAACAAAAGGTATAAGCTTTTTATACAAAAAGAAATGTCACTGAAAAGACTTGTAATTGAAATAGAATTCTGAAAAGGGACCATGGCATAGTACAGTGGAAAGCCCGTGGTTTTGAAGTCAAACAGACCTGGGTTGATTGGAGTTCTGACTTTGTCACTTTCTAGCTCCCAGACCTAGAGCAAGTTACCTGACTCCTCTGAATAATGAATTTCCTCATCTATGATTAGAACAAAAATAAGTTATGTAAAACATTTAGCCTGGTACCCAGCACATATAGCACTCATAAGAGTATTATGATTATTTTAAGCTCCCTTCCATATTGTAAATGATAGCTGAAACTGAATTTATACCCAAGACACTTTTCAATGATTCAGTGATCTCATACATGTAGTCTAGCCTTTCTCTTTCTCTTACCATTGTGCCTAATATTGAAAAATCTCAGAAAATTCAACTGTTGATGTCATGTGAAATATCCCCACAATGTTACTTATCATAGCACGTGGCACATTTTAGAGGGAAATCCACACCACATAGAGGGGACAATTTTGAGTCACAAATTGAAGTGATGGCTCCCCATCTTTTCCCTTGGAAGGAGTACCTAGACACATTGCTGTTTTCAGTATCAAGAGTTCTTCAGAATATTTGTATTTGTGCCCTTTGTGGGCCCAGGAAGTGCAAGCAGAAAGTTGCCTGACTTAATAGCACAATACCCAGTGCTTTCTAGTGTACATGCAAATTTTGTCCATATAGTTTAAGCCTAATGGAGGAGTTTAATCAGAACTCCCTGTTCTAATAGGGCAGCCTTAAACATAGCAGGAAGCAATAGGAAAAAACTGGAGAAAGGGAAAATGCTGCTGATGAAGGAAAAGAGGAGACAAACAAGGGTGACATTGGCTGGGCAGCAATGATGACCAAAAGGTAAGAGGATAAAAAGAAGCAGTCAGAGGGATTTGGAAGCACATAATTGGAAATAGTGATGAAGAAACAGAGTTGTCCCAGAATAGAGGCCATAAAGGACCAGGGTAGGAAAGAAAAAGGGGGGACCCACAAAATTAACACCTTCAAAGTTCCTGATCCTGTGATTTTTAGTCTAATCTCAAAATCAGACCACTGAGTTGTATTTTACTCCTGATTTATTTACCCTTGATTATGTTGAGTAAATACTAATATATCTAATACGTATTATTTAAAATGATTTTCTCCCCCCATGCCACCAATGACTTAAAATGAAATATTTCAAGAGGTGAAGGAATGAAAATGTTAGAAATATATTAGGAATATGGAGGGTAACTGCAGCAATCTCATAGCATACACACCTTTCATTATATAGCCAGGCCAAGAAGCCTGTGCTGTTCCAGTATTGATCTGGCGCTCCTCCATCACCATCCGACCACAGAACCTCAGGCTGATAGTTGTTCACTAACTCGTAGAGCTCTGGCAATGTCTTAGAAACTGGAAATTGCCGCTTATGGAATGAACTGGATTCATCCTCAAGGAAGAGCGGATGAAACCATTCAAAAAGGGAATAGTACAGTCCAAAACGCAGGTCAGTTCTGTTCCTAATGGCTACCTCAAGTTCCTTGACAATGTCCCTCTTGGGCCCCTCATCTATGGCATTCCAGTTCCATGAATACTCTGAACCCCACAAGGTAAAACCTAGAAAATTATAGTGAAAACCCTTGTAAGCATGTCTATTTTAGTAAATTTCAACCCACACAAATGCCCAAACAAATCACATAGTACATGCGATGTATAAATACCTGCTCCTACAAATGACTGTTTTATGGCCAGTTTTTCATGGCATATATCGTGCTTTTATATGAGAAGTGAAAATTTAAACAAGGTGAGTCTGAGGTTTTTAAAAGCAACTTTCGGGGTTTATCACTGTATGGTCTGATCTATTTCCAGTATTTTCCCTCTTAGATTGTAAGGTCCTTGAGGGATCTCATCATGTCTGCAGTGCTCCCTGCTATGTCTTCAGCCAACTGCTAGCACAAGGTATAGCACAAAATAAACAATCAACAATAGCAGCCCACAACTAAAATGGGAACATATACATGTACCATGCTAAATGATGACTACTACTATTTATTATGAAGATCCTAAGATGCACTCCTGCAAGATTCTTAGTGTCTTCTAAACCAAAGTTTGAAGTCTACCGCTTAGTTTTAGGATTGTTTATTCTATTATAGTGTGATTCTTAGAACACTGGTGATCCATGTATAGCAAATCTCTTTTAGCCTGATTATTTATTTAACCAGAGGGGCAAAAAAACCCTACTATTTCCCAATAGTTCTATTTAAAATATACTCACCACATGTAATGTCATCCTACTATAAAATCATAAGCTTGGATTTTCCTCTTTAATAAAATTACCCAAAAGCAAATAGTCTACCAACTATTTTCTTATCTTATAGATAAGAAAAACAATATATACTTTTATACAAACACTTAGAAGTGGTTTGTTTTTAACAGGAATTTGCATTTAGATTACTGGTTGTTCTATATAAAAATGTTAGAAGAGATATATAAACTGAAATACTTAAAACATAATAAATATGAAAGCCTCAAAAATTTTATCAGTGCCTAGAGACTTAACTACATTGTTACTATTCCACTAAAATCTAAAATAATTTTTAAGAATAGACATTTATAAGGTACATTTGGTGAAACATTTTACTCTTGATAAATTAGAACAAGTCTAAGATTGACTCATACTTCGGATTTTATTATTATTTTTTTTTTTTTGAGACAGGTTCTGGCTCTGTCACCCAGGCTGGAGTTCAGTGGTGTGACCTTGGTTCACTGCATCCTCAACCTCCTGGGTTCAAGTGATCCTCCCACCTCAACATCTCCAGTAGCTAGGATTACAGGTGTACTCTACCACGCCCAGCTAATTTTGTCTAATTTTTCAGAGACAGGGTCTCACTTTGCTGCCTAGGCTGGTCTCAAACTCCTGACCTCAAGCAATCCTCCTTCCTTGGCCTCCCAAAGTATTGGGATTATAGATGTGAGCCACTGCACCTAGCCTTAGATTCATTTTAATAAGCTTTTAAAAACAGCTCACTCTTGTTCCTGTCATGTCTATGGTAAGCTTCAGAGCAGTGTTGATATCTAAAGTCATATTCAAAATTATTCAACTTGACAGGCCCTAATGTCAGACAGTACTAAAACCACATGAATCTTCATTTGAATATCACCACCATAAGCTCACACAGCGATACTCCTTCCTGAGCTTAGTATGCATTTTCCATAAGCAATGAAAACATCTGACAACATGGGTCCCAGAAAATGTATAAATGTGGGCTACATCATCTCTCCTCTCAGTTTGATTAATAATTTTTATTAAATAAACTCACTATGTATTGTTTTGTGCCATACAGCTTGGGAAAGTTCCTAGACATCGGGAAATCAGCATGTTCTCAAGCAAATACACTTGATAGACATTCATCTCAGCAGGAGAAATATCTACAGGAGAAAATCATGAAGCTACCAGAATGTGGCCAAAGGGAAAATATCCTATGATCATTGCAGATTTTTTGTGTTGGTTCTCCTCTCCTATTCCCATCCCATCCCTGGAGAAAACAATAAGGCAAAGTTTCTTTTTTTTTGAGACAGGATCTCGCTCTGCCACCTAGACTAGAGTGTAGTGGCCCTATCTCCGCTCACTACAGCCTCAAGCAGTCCTCCAACCTAAGCCTCCCGAGTAGCTGGGACTACAGAGACACACCACCATGCTAATTTTTTAGTTTTGTTTGTTTATTTGTTTTTGTAGAGACAGGGTCTCATTATGTTGCCCAGGCTGGTCTCAAACCCCTAGGCTCAAATGATACTCCTTCCTCGGCCTCCCAAAGTTTTGGGATTACAGGCATGAGCGACCACTCCAGTGCAAATTTTTTTATAACAAGGCAAAGATGATCATGCGAAAGAAACTAATGAATTAACAAGCAAGTGGAACAAAAACAATTTGTTAATGCTTCCCTGGCCTTACAAATACTGCAGTGGTAATGGGTGGAATCCATTCTATTAAAATAGGACTGCTGTGTGGGGGTTTAGATATTCTTCTACCACCTCTGATTATTCTGGGAACCATTACAGTTCCACAATCCTTTTCCCTCCAGGTGATCTGGGTCACTTTCATCATTATCAGTTCATCCACTATTTGCACAATTTGGTCATCTAAGAGTTGGCTAAAAGTGCAGCCAGGTGTGCCGTAATGATGCAAGACTATAGCAGTATAACCCCCATGATGCATTCACAGGATGCATTACAGAGAAAGGGAAGGAAAGTGCAATTCCAATGATGAACTTTGACTTGCAACCCACACTCCCTTCAACAAACAGCTTTACGTAAATCTTGGAAATATTGTTCAAAATACATGTGCCAAAATGTGCCCATCTTTCCTCTGTTATGTGGAGGGTATGATCCTTGCTGTATTGCTAACATCTCTCAATTTGGGTTGAAAGTGCAGTCCCTTAGTTATCAACAAGTGCCAGTCACCAGGTTGCGCCTAAGAGAAAATTAGACCTTGCTTTAGTTTTTTCTTCCAAAAAAAATAATTTTTCATTTCTTAACCATTGTCAGCAATTTCCATACGCTGGATTGACTTACCTTCATGATGTTTGGAAGTTAAGACAATGTATTTGGCACCAGAGGCCTGAAAAATATCTGCCCACTGGTTGGCATTAAAAAATTTTGCTGTAAATAGTGGTCCAAAATCTTCATATTTGAAACTAGGAGGGTAATTATCTTTCATAAATTCCACATACTTCGGTATCTTTTCCTTTTGCCAATACCACCTAAGGGGAGGAAAGGAAAGAGTGCATAAACAGCACATACACACACATTTAAAAGAACTGCTCCAGCTCCCCTTACCATTTACCCATCACGTAGATACAGTAGGACCCAGATTCTCTTTCTCACTTCCCCCTTAGTTTGACTTGGCTTTAAAGAAAGCTTATGCAAACTAAAACCCCCTCTCATTTTCCACCTATCTCCCTGTGATATCCACTCAGCCCATAAACTAGAGCATTCTAGGCAACTCAGCTACCCATTCTCTCTCTTTTTTTTTAAGACAGGGTCTCACTCTGTCACTCAGGTTGGAATGCAGTGGTGGAATCATGGCTCACTGCAACCTCGACCTCTTGGGCTCAAGCGATCCTCTCGCCTTAGCCTCCTGAGTAGCTGGGACCATAGGCACGTGCCACCACACCTGGCTATTTTTTTTTTCTTTGTAGAGATGTGGTTTCTATATGTTGCCCAGGCTGGTCTTAAACTCCTGGGCTCAAGCAATCTTCCTGCTTCAGCCTCCCGAAGTGTTAGGATTACAGGCATGAGTCATCATGCCCAGCCCCATTCTCTTTTAATACTTCACTTTTAAATCACAACATGTAGTATGTGTCTTTACACATTGTCCTTTGTAACATAAGCGACTAGGGCTTCTAAAAGGAAGACTACATGCTTAAAACATAACATGCGTCTATTATATTCAGTAGTAGAGAACACTTTGGAGGCACAGGACAGAAAGGGAGGCAAAAGTAAAATTAAGAAGATGCTGTTATTTTAATAAGTGGACTCAACCTTCAACAATTACTTGCTATATGCATTCATTCTAAGCAATGGTATATTGACCCTAAACTGTGTAAGCAAGACTTCATGAGGAAAAACACATCTACACATTTTAGATAAACACAGCAATAACTATCCCCATGAAATAGATGCAACCCCCATTTCCGACCCATCTCCTGCTTTTTCTATCACCATTTCTTTCATATGAGTACTTCTACAGGATAAGCAAATCCATAATCAGCACTGTATTTCCCAAGATGATCAGGAGACTCTTTCTGCTAAGAAGACATAATTGAAGGGCATACTATGTGGCAGGCACGTTTGCCTGCCCAAAAGTCATATTTACCTAATTCCCAGCTTCCACTACAGCTACGACAGGGATGTGAGATCCACGCTGGCCAAGGGAACTTGAGGGAAAGCCACACTTCGAGGACTGTGGAAATGGTTTCCCTCCTAATGAAAAGACACACTGGCCTTCCTGCCTTTGGCCAAGGTTGTGTGAAGTTATGGTGCCTGGCTGCCATCCTGTGACCATGAAGGAACAAGTCCCCAGGCTGAGGACGACAGAAAGAGCCTATGTCTTTGACTTCATCAATGAACCAGCTACCTCTAAATTTCCTGTTATGTGAGATAATAAGCCCCTATCATTACACCTTTTACTTGGGTTTAAAATCCTTGAAGCGTTTTTATTATTTATTTATTTATTATTGATTAATTGATTGGTTGAGACAGGCATTGCTCTATCACCCAGGTTGGAGTGCAGTGGCATGATCATACCTCACCACAGCCTTGAAATCCTGGGCTCAAGCAATCCTCCCACCTCACCCTCCTGAGTAGCTGGGACTACGGACATTACCTTTTAAACTGAACTGCAAAAGAGAAACTGTGACATTCAGAAAGTTGAACAAGAATAAGGAATTTCTCCTAGCATCATCTAATTTGAACCTGCACTCTCCCCTACAGTCAGGACTCGAATTTCATGCTGAGAGATGAAAAGAGGCACTTATGGTAAAGAGTCCATCATTTATATTTAGTTTTTAATAGACATTTAGAACAGTCACACATACTCGTCTGTACTGTTGATTCCCCAGAAGTCAAATTGAGAGTGAGGAGCAGAGGATACAAAGGGAAACTACAGATGATTAAAGAATCTTCCACAGGGTTAATGCATTTCCAGATCATCAGGAATGTGTTCTCTATTTTGTTTAGTATGAGAAGTATCTTTATTGTTCTAGTTCAAAACAATCATGGGTTTGTTTGTAGAAAATGACGTTACTCATAGCAAAGAAGAAAATGACTCAAAACTGGCTGTTTTATTTTGGCATAGTACTGGTCTCAGTTAACAAATATCAAATCCTCTACTGGCACCAATATATCTTCACCTAATCTTCATAGTTGAACAAAATGATAATATAAGATACAATTTAGGGGGAAGAAAGTGTGTTAATTATGTACCACACTAATTTAAAACATTTCCAAAATAAACTCAAGATTCATTATAGCCCGAAACATGCAAATAAAGATTTGTAACATCTTTCTGAAGTAGCTATGTTTTGGCATAAGAAGAAAGAGTCTCTGTTTTATAAGTTGAATTATTTAAAGTATATGAATAATTCTCCATAGCTTACCCATTTTTATTTTTTACATAAACTGACCTAACAATAAGAAAGGTTACTGGTTCCAGGTAGTCTATCTCTTTGTAATGAAAGGGTTAAAATATGCTATTCTGGCATATCATTAAAGGTAAAGAAACTCAAAAAATAGCAGGTGCATGAAGAGCACTTTGACCTCTGTGCTGTTTCTTAGGACAGAAGATGAAATTCCAGTATGAAAGGCACTCTATACTGGAAGGAAAGGCAACATCCTAAGCTTCAAAGACAAGAAGTCGAATACTGTAAAGACCTTGCTAAAATTCATTTTTTAAGCCTCCCCACACAATTTAATCCTACAATGTCAATTAAATTCTTGGACCCAGCAGAGATCGTAACAGAATGGAGGTGTAATTTTTCTACCCCTACAGTCGAGCATGGTACAGTGTATACTATGTAATGTTAATATAATTTGTAGTTCATACTCTGTATTGTGTCTACTAAATATAGTATGTTAATTTGGATGTATACTATTTATGTAGTATATAGTTGATTCAAATAAATACTGACTGTTTAATGATTCCATTATTTTACTTAAGAATATATTATGTGTCCCAAAGTCCTGGAATTACAGGCATGAGCCACCGCGGATCACCTGAGGTCAGGAGTTTGAGACCAGCCTGGCCAACATGTTGAAACCCCGTCTCTACTAAAAAATACAAAAAAATTAGCCAGGCATGGTGGTGTGCGCCTGTAGTCCCAGCTACTCGGGAGGCTGAGGCACCAGAATGGTTTGAACCCGGGCAGCAAAGGTTGCAGTGAGCTGAGATGGTACCACTGCAGCCCAGCCTGGGCGACAGAGTGAGACTACATTTCAGAAAACAACAAAGAGTATATTATGCGTATGTATCTATATATGCACACAAAATATTTATATTTTGAAGAACTTAATACTTGTTGCATTTAGTTAGAAAAAACGTGCAACAGTTTAAGAAATTACATGCACATTTTCACATAGATCTCAAACTAAAATCTAAAGCACAGATTTTTGTGTAGCACCTTTCATACGGCAAACGATAATTGGGTTGTGTTAAGAGTACCATTCTAGAACCTCTTTAAAAAGTTCCTAGAGCCACACATGGTTAACATGTTAACATTAAGTAGCCAATGGTGTTCAATGAACTCGTTTCACATACTCATGACTATGCTTTAACCATAACTTCATGGCAGAACGACTGTAAATTGGCAGGGAGCAGCAGAGCAACCACGGGCCATTGTGCCTGAGTCACCGCTCGTGGGATGCCCCTGCACAAACTGATGGATGTCTGTAGTAGCTCGATGTTGTAGTGTCATAACTACAGCTTAAAATGCGCAACTATGAAGAAGTTGAGGAGTCAAGTGTGTCTGAAAACTCTTACAGTCACACGGAAGAAAAATTCTCTGTTCATCAGCAGAAGAACTTAGGAAAGAAACCACATATTCGATACCCGGAAGTGCGAAACGCAGGTAAAGCAGCGGGAGGTGAAACCGACTAGGGTGCAGGCAGCACCAGGCGGCGAACCTGGCCCGCTGGGTGGTGGCTGGAGTCTGCGGGTGGGGACAAAAGCGTGGCAGAGGAGTCAGAAAGGAGCGCACTCACCAGAACCACTCGCTACCGAAGCTGGGTACGGAAAACACGCCCCAGTGGATGAAGATGCCGAACTTGGCCTGGTCAAACCACGCGGGCAGCTGGCGGGCGTCCAGGGACTCCCAGGTGGGGTCGAAGCGCGTCGAGCTGTGGGCAGGGCTCGGCGGCGGCTGCAGCAGCAGCAACAGCAGCAGCGGGAGCGCGAGCCCGCGGAGCTTCCGGGGCCGCATGTTCCCGCGCAGGCCGGCTGTCCTCTCTGCAGGCTCCCGCGGCCTCGCGAGCGCTGTTCTTCCGTTTCTGCTGCTGAGTATGCCGCGCCGCTGTCACCTGACCAAGCCGGTCTTGGAAACCGGCCACCCTTCCCCCTCAGGGGCGGGAGTGGCCACTCTCCCGGGCGTTCCGAATGACCCCAGGAGGGCTGCATCGCTCAGCATAACTAAGGAGGCCAGCATTACCCCAAAGCCAGCTGCGACGGCTTTGCTAAGGCTCTATTCGCTTTGAGGGGAAAATATGAGTCTGAGTCAGGGCCCTGTGACCAGCGCCTCTGCCCTCAATGAGGCACGACCTTGCCCAAGAAACTGCCCAAGAGGACAACGCCACCAGCCCGCCCTGGTGGCTGCTCCACACGTCCGAAGCGTGGATGAGAAGGTCAAGGCAGGAACCTCAGCCGGGTCTCGCCATAATGAAACATGGAAAGCAACCTAGATCATTCTCAGCCTCTGTATCAGCTCCCAAGATCCTGCATGTTAGAACTGTGGCTGTCAACCTTGAATTTGTATCAGATGAAATTCCAAGAGCTTCAGATTCAGCAGTTAGGGTGCGGCCCAAGAATTTGCGTTTCTACCCAGTTCCTAGAAGATTCTGATGTTGGGCTGGGCGCGGTGGCTCACGCCTGTAATTCCAGCACTTTGGGAGGCCGAGGCGGGCGGATCACGAGGTAAGGAGATCGCGACCATCCTGGCTAACATGGTGAAACCCCGTCTCTACTAAAAATACAAAAAATTAGCCGGGCATGGTGGCGGGCGCCTGTGATCCCAGCTACTCCGGAGGCTGAGGCAGGAGAATCGCTTGAACCTGGGAGGCGGAGGTTGCAGTGAGCCGAGATGGTGCCACTGCACTCCAGCCTAGGCTACAGAGTGAGACTCCATCTCAAAAAAAAAAAAAAGAAAAAGAAAAAAAAAAGAAAAAAAAT